TTCTATTCTATTCTATTCTATTCTATTCTATTCTATTCTATTCTATTAGTGACTGTTTGAAGTCACAAGCACACACTGAATAAAGTAGTTTGGGACAGTTTTTCACACAAGTTAGGTAGCCATTTTATGAAAAATGAAAATTCAATTCCTAGCAGTGTCCACAATGCCTGAAGTAGGACTATCATATAGCAAGTCCTTCCCTTTGCCATGGACATTTTTAGAACTCCATCGTTTAACTACCTCAGTAGATGGCTGGGTAAGGAAAAAGGCAGGAAAAGGCCATATGTCTTAAAAGAGCCCCCTGAAAAATTGCCACCATGGTGTAGCAGAAAGTATTTCCAATTAAGCCAGGAGATCAGGGTTCAAATCAGGGGTGGGCTTCAAAAATTTTAGCAATGGGTTCTCTACCCAGTTGCTGGGTGGGCGTGGCCATGGTGTGTGTGGCCTAGTCGGCCTTCTGCACCATGGCAGCGGGGTGTGTGTGTGTGTTGCCCTCTCCAGATTCTGGAGGCTCACTGGAAGCCAGAAATGGGCCCATTTCCGGCCTTCTCGAATTTCCGGGAGACCCGTTTTTCGCCCTCCTTGAGCCTCCATGCTCGCTCTGCACTTACCTGCATCCAAAATGGGCTGTGTGGATACTCCTGGGAGGGGCGGTGAGGGGTGGGCAGGGCCAGCCAAGAGTGGGATTTGGGGGTTCTCCGAATTGCACAGAATCTTAGCTAGGGGCTCTTCCGAACTCCTGCGAACCCCCAGCAGCCCACCCCTGGTTCAAATCATCAGTTGAGCCATTAAGCCCAATATAGGCTAGTTTTTCATTCTCATACTGAGAACTGTACTGGTAGTCTCAACGTACGACCATAATTAAGCCCAAACTTTCCATTGCTAAGCAAAACAGTTAAGTGAATTTTGCCCTGTTTATGACCTTTCTCACCCTAATTGCTAAGTGAATCACTGCAGTTGTTAAGTTAGTAACACAATTGTTAAGTGAATCTGGCTTCCCCATTGACTTTTCTTGTCAGAAGTTTGCAAAGGGTGGTCACAGGACCCCAGGACAATTTTGATCACCTGACCATAGGAATGCTACAACAGTCGTGTGAAAAACAGTCATAACTCACTTATCAGTGTCATTGTAACTTCAAATGGTCATGAAACAAATGGTTGTAAGTTGACAACTACCCGGATAGCATTTTAAGTATAGTATTTTAAGGTAGTATTTTAAGTATAAAGCAATATTTTTTCCTCAACTTGGCAACTTTAACATGTTTGGATTTCAACTATAAATTCTGAAACAATTGTCTACTAGCCATAACATAAAACTATTGGCTGCAGCTTCAGATGTATATATACACACACACTTTAAAAATTAAGTAAATTATGAGGGAGAATCCTAAGCAAAACATTTTATTTTACCATTTGCATTGTAGTTTCTTGCACTGCTGAAAAGCCAAGCTGTTTTTCAGCTTCCAGTCTAAAATGTACACTTGGTTGTTACTTCCACACATTGAACATATTTTATAGAAGCCCCTGCTATTACCAATACCTGGGGATGAAAAATGACTCTATAAACCTCTGTAAAGCTCTAGACTCTTATTACTTGGAAAACAAGTAATTTGGGAGTGTGGATGGTGGGGGAAGCAATTAGAGACAGAAACAGGTATGGGCCAAAGCTGAGATCTCATTCAACATGACATCTTCCCTTAAGAATTCATCTGACAGCCTCAAGGACAGGACAAATTGTCTATGATCAATTGAAGGCTGAGTCACCTTTACCATTTCCAGAGGCCCACACATTCATTTTAAAGCACTGTGTGCTTGCCTAACTAAAATTTGTGGTAAAACAAGCTGAGGAGAATATATAAAGCAAAGATGTAGGTGAACATTTTAAATCTGATACCTGTAAGAGCCATCTACGGAACAGTTTTTTACAAACTCACCTAGTATTCTAATTTATTATGGGATTTATATCCTGGCTTTTGATCACTCAATGATACATTTATTTACTTATATCATGCCTTAATTATTATTATTTTTTTACAAATAACTCAAGGCTGTGAACATATCCAACACACCTTCCTTCTCCTATTTTCCTCACAACTACAATCCTGTGAGGTGGGTTGGGCTGAGACTGGCTTGAAGACACTCAAATAGTTTTCATGCCTAAGGGAGGATTAGAACTCAGGTAGCACCTTCACCACTACACCAAACTGGCTCTCCACCTACATCAGTGGTAGTCAACCTGGTCCCTACCACCCACTAGTGGGCCTTCCAGCTTTCATGGTGGACGGTAGGGGTTTTGTCCCCTACTTTATAAATCACCATTACTGTGGAACCAGTGGGCGGTTAGAGAAAACTTTACTACTAACAGAGATACAAAAGTGGGCGGTAGGTATAAAAAGGTTGACTACCCCTGACCTACAAATACACTCGCATGTACAATACATATTTGCAGAGATCCAGAAGGGGCTTGTTGCTTTCCACATGCGAGCCCTCATAGTCCCAACATGAACTTTTAATAATGAAACATAAAAGAGATATAATTTCAATATTCTTAATTTTTTTTTAAAAAAATAGCAAGTTATTAAGGATGAACCTCCATTTGAGCTGGGATACCAGACAAGATGGAATGTGTGAGTGCATATTTCCACATCTTGCATACTCAGGCGGCACCAAACAGATTCAATCTAGTCCATTCTGGTGGGGAAACTACTTTAGACAAAGCTTGTAAGTAGACTTGAAATAACATATCTGCCGTTGATTCCAGCAAGGCCTTTCTAATATCAACCTCAACTGGGGAGGGTGTTGGGAAGCACTGTTGTGCTTTATTTAGCTTTGCCTCATTCATGTGAACTTGGCACTGAGTCATCGGATGGGAAAGAATTCAGTGAACTTCAGCTGCGGCCAAGCATCCCCAAATAGTTCAGATGCCCCAGCATGAGTTATGTTTCATTGCATGGGGGACATCTTTTGCCTGTTCGTTCTCCAGGAAACACTTATGGGGAGTCCTCGAGATTCTGATAAAGAATCTTCATGGAAGTTAAGGAACAGTACAATGTTCACTAAATTGCTGGCAGGGAGGCACAAATACCTAGATTTGTCATTCCCACCCCACCATACTTTCCCTCTATTCTGCAAAAAAACCCCAAAGGACAAAGAAAGCACCACATGAGATCACAAAAGGGGGGGGGGGGGGAATCAATCCTGTCATAAGCTTTTCTGAACCTGATGGCCTGCAAAATATGTTTGTTCACAGAATCAAGACATGGGTTGGGCAGAAGATCACAAGATCTCCAATCAAACGTCAGTGCAGAATCTTCTCTAGTATTTCAAACAGATGGTAATTCAGCCTCTGGTCGAAGGCGTCCATGGAAGAGAAACATAGCACCTTATGAGGCAACTTCTTAACAGTGCTTAACTATCGAGAAATTCCTCCTATTATCTAACCTGTCTACTTCTCTCTAGTTTCAACCTATTTGTTTTCATCCAACCCCAGAACCCAAAACAAGCCAACTTCCAACTTTATACGACAACTGTCGTGTCCGTCGAGAAAGGAAGCTCGGAGTCAGTGACTTGGTTTCAGCTCTTTATTGGCTCCTGATACAGCTTAAGCTTGAAGGGAAAAACTGCGGCTTTTTATTCCCGAGCCGCGGCGGCCCCGGCCAATGACACCGCTTCGAATCTCCCGCGATTTGTTTCCACCAATCGCGGGGGATTCGCAACGGACCAATCAGTGCGGCTCGCTCGACCAATCCGGTCGCCGCGCGCCTTAACCAATCGCGACGCGGGGCTACGAGTATGTAAATTGACTTGTACAGAACAACAACCAATAAGATGTCTGAAGATTGCTAATCACTCTCATCTCTATCTTCTAACTTATCCAGTTCCTTTAGCTCAACCTTGGCAACCTGGAGGTGTGTGGACTTCAGCTGCCGAAATTCCAAAGTTGGCTATGGAATTCTAGGAGTTGAAGCCCACACATCTTCAAGTTGCCAAGGCTGAGAAGCACTGCTTTAGCTGTTCTTCATAAGACCTAGTTCACAATCACTATCTTGGTAGCTTTCCTCCAAACTCACTCCAACTACTCAATGCCATTTTTAAACTGCCCCAGAACTCCACAAAGTATTTTAAGTGGGTCCTTGCCAAACAAGAGTAAACTGAAACACGTATTTCCAATATTTCCATATGATAAAAATGGCAACCTAAATCCATTTTATCGCAAAGCAAATGTTTTATGTCCTCAAACATAAAAAAGAGAAAAAAACTAAATTAAACTGAATTCTGTTTAGGCTCGCTGTTATCTGTTCTCCTAAACATTCTGCTCAAAACAGAAACATATAAAAGCCAAGTGCTAGTATTCAAACTTAAGGGAGGGGAGTGTTGAGAAAATTACTGCAAGTCTCCCCCTCCCATCTTTCTTTCTTGCTTCCAGCCTCCTTTGAACCAACCACAAACTAGTCCTCTGAACTGAATTTATGCTGCTGCACCCTCACATAGTATATTAAAGACAATTGCTACTTGTGCACATCATCTTTATTATTTTATATTTGCCTTGTACACTTTGGTTTTCCTCTTTGCTTGAATTTCAAACATGTTTATTTGCTGTTTATTCAATTGTGCTCAATTTAACTTCACTATAATTTTGTGTTACAATTTTTCCAACCATTAATTATAAGTGAAGGTTTACTGTGATTTGCTTTGCATATCTTTTTACTGCAAAAAGCAGTAAATAAATGTGCTTAAGCCCAAATGCTCTGCTTAAGTTCAAACCACTCTTATATACTGTCACTCTCTTTCTCTCTCTCTCACGAATTTAAACGTTTCTAACATTTTAATTATCTTATTTAATTAACTTAGGTACCGTGGTGGAACAGTGGTTAGAATGCAGTATTGCAGGCTGACTCCATTCACTGCCAGGAGTTCAATCCTGACCGGCTCAAGATTGACTCAGTCTTCCATCCTTCCAAGGTGGGAAAAATGAGGACCCAGATTGTTGGGGACAACATGCTGACTCTGTAAACTGCTTAGAGGGGCTGTAAAGCACTGTGAAGCTGTTTTTGCTATTGCTATTACTGTTGTATACACCTGATAATCATTTGGGAAGAATTTCTAAAATGGGCACTCATATTCTAACAGTGCCATCTTACTCCAGATGGTGCTGCATAGGAACACTTTGCTGGTTAACCCAGGATGCCAAGTTCTGTTTTTACCTCAAGATTACACTGCAGTTGGTATTCACAAGGCTGTGAATATCTGAGTATAAATAAATAAAGTCTATCGGATGAGGATCTTCATAATCCTCTTTCTATTCTTGGAAATACTCTATCTGCTATTTGTAGCATGGACCTGTCTGGATTACATAGAGTATTCATGCCAAACATCTGTGGCATTTTGCATGATTTGTCCTTTAAGGAACTACATTTGCTCCTATGTTTAGGATCAATAGCTCAACTCAGTTATGAATTGTGGTAGTTCCAGCAATATTTGTAGCAAAGTGTACATAGCTATACGTATATTTCAGTAAACATTGTCAGCTAAGAAAATAATCCAATCTAGGTCAGTCACTGGGACCAAAAGTTTTGTCTTCCAAGTTTTTGGACTCCTGCTGGAACCCTTCTAGCCTAGAGAGAAATTACCTGAAGATGGGCTCCAGTTCGAGTCCGAAAGCATGGAAGACAAAACCTCTGGTCCCAGTAACCAACCTAGATTGGATACTGCAACATGTATCCTGGGACATGTATGTTCATTCATAAAAAAATAATAAATATTGTATTTTGGCAAATCTTGTGGTGCTGCCGAAGAGTCAGGGTAGGCTGTCCCAGTCCCAATAAGTGGGCAGTTATTGCAATTATTGACTGGGATCTACTGGCAGATCCTAGATTTCTAGTTTATCTGTAAGAATTGTAAATTTAGCTCATTCCTCCTCCTCCTCCTCCTGCCATATCCATCATCAGACATCTGCAATCATGTTGGAAATCCTATTTTTATCAACAGCTGCACGAAAAAGTGCTGTTGGGTTTGGTCCAAACCAGTCCCTTAGATTTTGAAGCCGTAATGTTCTTCTTCTACCTGGACCTTGTTTGCCTTCAATCTTTCCCCGGAAGATTAAGTGAAGGATGGCATATTTTTCCCGGTGTCGCTTCACACGTCCAAAATATTCTTTCGCTTTTTTATGGTTTTGATGATTTCCCTTGGCTTTCCCAAGCGGCTTATTACCTCCTCATTTCTGATTTTGTCAATCTAACTTATAGGTAAGAGCCCCCTGTAAATTTCTCTTGCTCAGATAAAACCTTACAGCTCACAGCTGCTTAGAGGCACTGCACTCTTTAATTGATTGCATTCATCTTTTAGGCTGGTCTTCTTCAAAGCTGCCATCCTGCAACTTTATTGTTTAATGCCAGTTCATAGAAACTAGTTAGGCATTTAGCAATTTTTCCTAGCCCTTAAACTAAGTTCACTCCTTTCAAATTAGCCAGGATTAAATGAAAGATATTCTACAGCAGACCTCTACAATTTGTAATCCACCATGCATCCTTGGTGAAAGCCATTGTGTCATTTACCGCATTCTACCACTGTCACTAGATGGACAAAATAACACTTCTCTGTAGAACACCCAGTTGTAAATTCACAACTATAAAATGTCTGAAAAGCTACTGTCTCAAGTGATTTCCACACTTAATATAATAAGCCTAAGAGTAAAAATGAGAATCAACACAATGTCTAAACAGAACCTGGATGATCAGGGGCATTAATGCTCTGAAATAGGACAAAATGATTGTCGTCTTTTCAGTGCTTTGTCAGGCTGAAAAAGTAGGGCAGGAATGGCTAAATACACCATCTACGATTCTTCCTACAGCCTCACACAGCATCTATGTTTGGAACTTTAGAGAAAAAGACAGCAGTCAGCCTATTTTGCCCCTTAGGAACAATGACAATGATTTGAAGGCTGTTCTTGCCTGTCCCTTATTACTAATGAGTTGGTTTCTATTTCTTTCTTTCTTTCTTTCTTTCTTTCTTTTTTTTGCATCTCCACAAATTTGGGCCAAAAGTTCATACTCCAGAGTTTCCCACCCAGGGCAATGCTGTTCTTTACCTATAAATGCATCTTAAAAGATGACTTAACATTATCATGAAAGGAGATCTATTTGGTAATGAGGGGCACTTGTGGGCTAGGGAAGAGTTCTCCAACTTCCAGCTTTGAGGACCGGTGGAGGGGTGAGAAGAGGGGATGGTTCCTCGCGAGTGGCTGGAAGGCATGCATGCCTTCCATTCACACAAATGGATCACACATGCACATGCTCGCCTGCCGCTCGCGAAAGTAGGGATGCACATTCGTGCTTGCGCACTGTTTCCGTGGTCTGGTTGCAAACACCTAATGGTGGTTGGGGACCCCTTGGCTAGGGGATTAAAGCAGACAGAGCCACGACAAGTCTTATTAAAACTAATTAAATGCAATTAATGCCATTTTTCCTCAGGTATATAATAAGCATTTCTTTCTTTTGCATTAAAAAATTAATGGCAACCCTGGGAATGGCTTCCAAGGGCCACATGAAGTCCTGCAGACTTAAGATTTTTCATTGTGGTTCTAAGTGTCTCCTTTGGGCTGGACAGAAACAAGGAAGAATAAAAAGTCAACATGGCAGCCATCCCTCTGTGGGCAATGCTCATTTTTCAGTATCATTTTGATAATTTACCATAGAGGCTGATGCAGAGAGCATCTACATGTTGGGGATGAAGAATGCAAATATCCATGGCACGTTTTAACAAAACATGAGCCACGGTGGCGCAGTGGTTAGAGTGCAGTATTGCAAGCTACTTCTGCTGACTGCTGGCTGACTGCAATTTGGCAGTTCAAATCTCACCAGACTCAAGGTTTGACTCAGCTTTCCATCCTTCCGAGGTGGGTAAAATGAGGACCCAGATTGATGGGGGCAATAGACTGACTCTGTAAAACCGCTTAGACAGTGCTGTGAAAGCACTGTGAAGTGGTATATAAGTCTAAGTGCTACTGCTTTTGCTAAAGGCATCACATTTAATATGCAGAACCGCTTTGGGTTCTGCGTGAATTTTGAAGGAATTTACAAATCAGGGGATGGGTTTCTTTTTCTCTCTCATATCTTTTCACTTCCGTTAAAAAAATCTTCCCACTTTTCCCTCCCCAACCCCCTAGCATAAACTGCTACAACAATCTCTCCCGAAAAACAGGACCAAAAACAGGGAAAAAAATCCAGATGCTAAGAAATGAAGTGAAATCACATAAGTTTACATTCCAATGTAGGTCTAGCATACATTAACATGGCACTCACTCTGAGAGGCATAAAGATCCTCTGTTGCCTTATTTTCATGTCCCTCAAACTCTCGGCTGGCCAGTTGCCTATTTGCAGTCTCCAGTCGGTCTACACAGGAAGAAGAAAGATTTCAAGAATAAAATATATCAGTGTGTATTGCCCTGAATGCTTGAACGGTAAGAGGCAGGTTAACGAGTATGACATTTAAAAACATTAAAGAGAGATTCAGAGGGAGAGAGAAACTAATTTAAAATAGCAGCTAGAAAGGCAAAATCATACAGGAGAATAAGGAAGAATGACGTAAGTCAAGGGTAGAGAGTCTCTTCTGGGGAGTTCGGCCTAGCTCAATTTTCTCAACCCAGAACATATCAAGGAGTGTTTGGAGGGAAAGCTGATTCAGATCCTAATTTTGATGTCTGTGAGCCAAAAGATTCTTTCTGCTGATAAATAGCACTGGATTCCAAGCAAAGGGGGTATTCAGCAGGTTCTGACCAGTTCTGGAGAACTGGTAGTGGAAATTGTGAGTAGTTCGGAGAATCAGCAAATACCACCTCTGACTGGCCCCACCCCCATCTATTCTCTGCCTCCCGAGTCCCAGCTGATTGGCTGGGACTTCTTTTGTTGCCCTGCACAGGAGAACGGAGCTGGAAAGCAGGTTAGTGGGGTGGGGAGGGAAAGAGATTTTGCAGTAACCTTCCCCTGCCACGCCCACCAAGCCACGCCCACAGAACTGGTAGTAAGAAAAATTGCATCCCACCACTGGTTCCAAGAAAAAAAATCTTTATGGCAGAGAATTTCCTATTTCTGTCATGTCCCCTGCAGTGTCTCGTCACCTTGTGACTGGTTTTTTGGGGAGCACAAAAAGGAGAACCAAGGAATCTCTACAGATTCCCTCTTTTTTTGCAATAGTTGTGGAAAAAAATAAAATAAAAGTAGACGTGGTGGAATGAAGCTGCAGCCAAGAGTTTATGCCGTTGCTAGTCAAATAGGAGAGAGAGAGAGAGAGACAGATTCCAAATCCAGTCAGGCAATGCCTTCTTTTAGGACCAACCCAAAATGCACAATTCTGCGAGCAAACTTTTTGGTTCTCATTCCAGACTGCAGGACCAGTTACAGGAAGTCAGATTCAGGTGCCAGGTGAAACTTCCTCAGTGTAAGAGCAGATGGTCTATGGAACCATTTATCCAGAGAGACAGTGGGCTCTCTTCACTGGCTGTACAGGTAGTTTTCAACTTATGACAACAATTGAGCCCAAATTTTATGTTGGTAAGTAAGACGTTCGTTAGGGGAATTTTGCCCCATTTAACTACCTTTCTTGCCTCAGTTAAGTGAATCACTACAGTTGATAAGTTAGTAATCCAGTTGTTAAGTAAACCTGGCTTCCCCATTGGTTGTCAGAATGTCGCAAAAGGTAGATTCCATGATTCCATGACACAGCAACAGTCATAAATATGAACCAGCTGCCAAGCATCTGAATTTTGATCATGTGATCGTGGGGATGCTGGAAAGGTAATTGTGAAAAACGGCCCTAACTCACTTTTTTCAATGCCGCTGTAACTTTGAACGGTCACTAAATGAACTGTTGCAAGTTGAGGACTACCTGTATTCAATTAAAGCTCACAGATGTAGCTATTTGTGGATGTTATAATATGGATCCTAGCCCTGAGAAGGGGATTGGCACCAATATAAATGCCCCCTCATACATTCTGATTTTCATACCTGGAGAACCTCCATCTATATTTTACAATTCTGGCTTCCCCTAAACTAGGGATCTCCAAATCTGGCAGCTTTAAGACTTGTGGACTTCAACTCATAGAATTCTTCAGCTAGCCAAGCTGGCTGGGGAATTCTGGGAGTTCTAGTCCACAAGTCTTAGAGTTGCCAAATTTGAAGAACCCCTGCCCTAAACCATAATTAGTGTTAGCAGACAATAAGACTTGTATATAATTAACTGAAAGCAGAAGAAATCCAGGGTCATGTTTAGGTCAAGCAATGATAAATAGAACCATTAAGTCATGCCAGGGAATAATTTGTCTGGTCTCTAGCCTGCCAATATACAAGAGAATATGATAGCTTATGATATCTTAGAACAGGGGCCCAAATCTCAAGGTAGGGCCCCCACAATACCCCAGAATCATACTGCCAATGCCAAAATGCTTAATTGTTATCGTAACAATAAGTAGAAATGACTAAACTGAAATAGCATTTTACTGCTTTTACAGGGCAAAGTGGAATCATTTCCATTTTTAAAGCTCCTGAACATCCCCGAGTATTGCAAAGCAAAAATGTCCATACGCACACAATTCATATCACTGGAGGCAGACACTTCTGTGGCCAGCAGGAAGCCTTATGGTTTACAAAAAATGTGCTGTTGCTCAGTACCCCCATTCTCTACCCCAAATCATCTTCTGATGTTGGATCAAAATTGAAATAGAATGGTCAGTTGATAGTTCTTCTATCTCCTAGTTAATGTGATGCTGGTGTCATGGCCCCGTCAGAGTCTGAATCCGAGGAGGAAGCCAGAGAGCTGACAGGGAATGGGAGTGTGGCTCTGTTGGCTGTGGAGGAGGCTGGGGAAGGGCAAAGTCCAGCTGGGCAGAGCAGGGAAGAGATAGAACAAGGGAGAGGGAGTTCAGAGGAAGGCCTAGGCCCACACCCTCTTCATCCTAGGGCACGCAGGGAAGAACAGAGAAGAGAGCAATGTGGGTTGCATGGCTTACGGGGGAGAAAAGGGCCCTGACTCCCTTCATTAGCCACAGCTGGGAAGACAGTTGATAAGAAAGGCAAGCTGCATTCGGCAGGCTGCCGTGAGCAAACGTGACTTTATCCTGTGTTGTCGTGGCTTATATGTGTTCCTGGCGTCTTCCCAACCATGTGAGTTTTGCCATGCCTTCAAGTCTGAAATTCTTGCTCCTGCCCTGCCAAACTAATTACTTCAGTTTGGCTGCCAAACTAATTACTTCAGTTTGGCTGCCAAACTAATTACTTCAGTTTGGCTTGTTTGGACTTTAAGTTACAGTTTGTTTTGCTCATGTTTTGAACTTAATTTTCTGCAGTCAAAGGCTGTTCCTGGGAGAGTTTTTCTCCAGCCAGAAGGTAACCTGGACATTGGGGGCAAAGTTGGAGATAATAAAGGGACTTTCATTGCTTATCTGACTGTGTTGCTTTTGTGCCACGCCCCGGGTCATCACAGCTGGTTTGTGAGATAGATTCTAGATTAAAGATCATGGTCTGCACAGAATAGTTCAAGCATGCTTTATATAAACTAATAAAATTTATTTGCCCTTGTGGCATTCTAGTCAAAATGTACCAAAATTGACCAATATCATCCTTGCCATTAATAAGGCATGCTACATGTAGTCTGATTATAACTAAATATGGTAAACTATCTTACACCTTCTCTGTGTTACTAAAAACCACCCGATAAAAGCCTGGATTTACTAGAGTTATGACCATGGCAGAGGTCATAAGATTGTAGGTCCAGCTAGTGACAATCATGGGAGGGACGGGTTAGAAACTGGAATGTAATAGTAGTAAAAATGGTGAAGAAATATGAATTAAGAAATGAAAGAACATGATACAAAAGTAATGAAAGAAGTTCACTGTGGTGGTTTGATCATAGAGTTTGATCATAGAAATCATAAAACGGAGGAGGAGGAGGAGGAGGAGGAGGAGGAGGAGGAGGAGGAGGAGG